CAAAATGCCTTAAGGCCGAGATACTCAACAAACGCATCTGTTAACGATTTAACATTATCTGTTAATGATTCAACATTATCTGTTATTGATTAACATTAATGACAGCTTTTCCTTTCCGCTGAAAATGAAAAGAAATTTGTTTTGCCAACTGCTTTAAAATTAATATTTACAAATGCTTTAACTGAAACGATAGAAAATTTTTCGATTAACGAGAAATTTGTCGTTGCGATGCAGCCCTGCCTTGAGGGCAAGCAAAGTGTAATAATTTTGATGTTGATGTTGAAATGTTATTAGTAAAACCCTTACATTGAGGATTGGCTACATTTGATATTCAAGTTTGTACATTTTTTGTAAATTTCATAATTATCCAAAACTAACTTGCAATTTTGAATTAATAAAAATATTAGTTAGGATAAACGTCATGAACTGCAGTTAAAATATATAAAAATATGTATGTATTTATAAAAAAAAGAAATTAAAAAAGTTAAGCTTGCACAATAAAAAATGAACAATGAATCAAATACATTAAATAATGAAAATGAATAAACTGCAAATTAACAACTGATCTGTACATGGATTTATGTTAAAAAAAAAAAATGGTTTTCAGTGAGTCGTTTCATATAACACTTCTTGCTCGCTTTATCAAGAAATTTGATATTTTATAAAACAAAAAATATACCATAATGAATGATAGGCTTGGTAACTCTTTCAAAGTTTCATTTCGATTTTCCGTCTTTGTAATTACTTATGTATATATTTTTTAGAAAATTAGACTTATAGCTTTTGAATGGCTTATATATGCTTCAAAATTAAAAGTTAAGCTGTATAAAATTTTCATTGTTACTTAAAAAACATAATCGAATTAAAAATCCGAATCATAATATGACTTAACATTAAGGCCCTCATTTTATTATACGAATATAATTTAATAATATTTCATTTTATCATAATAATAATTTCAATTTCAACATAAGAAATTTCGTCACCACATATTCAGTCTGTTCGGCGAGCTGCTGAGCAGTAAGAATTGCTGCCAATTATTACTGAATGGCGTACGGTAAGGTAAAAACGCAGTAAATTTGCAATGAGAGACAGCAATTTAGACCTTTCGTTACTGGCTAATTCGTACTAAAAATTTCTCACCGAACAGAGTTGTAAAAAGTGAAAGGTCTTCGCGGTTTTTGTCACTAGATGGTATTGATATTCCTATTTCGGCCAGCACTAACTGAATTGTATGAAAGCAATATTTTTTCTAAAGACGGTTATATGCAAATTAAGTTATTTTGGTTTAATATTTGAATTTTATAAATCAAAATATTATTTTAATTTTAAAATATACTGTATGTAAACATATTTAGGCATAAAAATACACACTCCAATTATATTAAAAAAAACATCTGTTAATTGGCCGTACGCAAATAAGTGTTTCAAATGCCAAAATTACACTGTGAAAATATATAAACATTTTAAAAAAGCGTTACTAAAAATACAAGTGTCAAAACTGAAACTTTCATACATATGTATGCTTTAAATTTGTGTACATGCAAGCTCTAAAGTATAATAATAAATATTATAATTATATGTATGTATAAAGAAATTTCAGCGCACTTCTACCGTTCTTACATGTATTTAAGCACTCGTGTGTATGTATTTATGTATATTCGAGTGGAAATGAAATATTGCATTAAGCCCTAAAATTTGTTGAAACTTACGCCCATATTCTGTAACGAGTATAGGTTATATATACATACAATATGTATGTACATATGTATGAACAAATGCTTGTTCATCTTTTACATACATTGCAGGTTGTTTAACTGTATATTCATGGTGGCGAATTTTATAAATGTACATTATTTAAAAAGAAAAAACTGTAACTAATTTAACTATGAACTAAAACAATAGAAAACAGGGAAACTAATTATTATTATAATAAAAAAACAAATAAACAGAATAAAACTACTTACCATATATGTATGATTTATTAATGTAGAAAAAAATGATTTTTATTTAAAACTTTAAAATATTTATAATAGAGATGTTAAATCAGCGAAACGATGACATTTCGTTTTGTTAATCTGAAAAATAAACTTATTACTTTTCGTTTTGTCACCATTTTACTTTAAGCGAAATGAAATTGGTAATTTTTAAATCATACAAACTCAGCGTTGACGTTAGTTTCAAAATAACGGCCTGTTATGTTATTACCAGCACACTTTTATTTTAATGCTTAACATTATGTGTTACCGGTTTAATATTATCTGTTAACGATATAACATTATCTGTTAAAGATATAACATTATCTGTTAGCGATATAACATTATCTGTTAACGATATTACATTATCTGTTAACGATATAACATTATCTGTTAACGATATAACATTATCTGTTAACGATATAACATTATCTGTTAACAATTTAACATTATCTGTCAACGATATTACCTTATCTGTTAATGATTTGACATTATCTGTTAACGATATAACATAATCTTTTAACGTTATAACATTATCTGTTAACGATATAACATAATATGTTAACGGTATAACATTATCTGTTAACGATATTACATTATCTGTTAACAATTTGACATTATCTGTTAACGATATAACATTAACTGTTAACGATTTGACATTAACGACAGCATTTCGTTTCAGGTAAACACGAATAAAATCTGTTTTGACTGCTTCAACGATAACATTTTCAAAAGGGTTTGCCAGCCTAGAACATCTTCTTCTTCTTCATTGGCATAGGCACCGCTTACGCGATTATAGCCGAATTAACAAACGCGCGTGGTTTCTTTCTTCTCTTCGCAGTTTGGCGCCAGCTGGAAATGCGAAGTGAAACCATGTCGTTCTCCACCTGATCCTCGTCTTCGTCTTTCCAGCCCTCCACCATATAATTCCTCGATTAGTCCTAAGCTATTTTGATAGTGATTGCAAATGCCGGGTAACGGAACTGTACTCGCTTCAATTCAAAGGACTGATAGGGATTCGAGATTCGAGTAATCCGGATGTCTTCCTCTTAGAAAGGTTCGGTCGAAATTGTTGCTTTGTTTTGTTCCTCTATAATTTTTTCACTGCATTATAAAATGTTATTAAATTTAATATAATATGTGCAGTGGGACCTCCGCTAAATACAAGAAATTAAAAATTCTATTGGAGTTGACTGCCTCATCTGCCAGATCCACAACGGTATCTATTGACTTTTATGTGATGCATTCGATTTCAATATTAAACTGTCTGGTACAGCGTGTATGGCTCGCTCGCTCATCCACCCATAATCGCTAACATGGTGTATTGGCTTTACACCAGTGATGGCACTAAATTCTAGGAACGCAACGTTTGTCTTTCCTTGGTATAGCAGGCGCGATGAGGATTACCCCAACAAGGACTCTAGAAGTTCCCAGGTAGCTTCAACTAAATGCCTACAAATCTGCCTTCCAAAGAGAGATTGTGGGCATTAGACAAGCTGCCAAACGGGCAACTGTCTTTGTTTTACGGAGTTGAGCAAACATGGTTGGAAGAAATTAAATCGGTTTATCAAATCTAGTGAAATCTTCGCATAAGTGTAGTTAGGTTCTGTAGGAGTCACAATAATCCTACTCCATGACTTGGGTGCGACCACATGCGGTCAGGTCCTTAGAATCCACTTTCAACCAGCCAATAAAAATGATCTGGTTATTTGAGAATATTAATTGAACAATTACAGAAATTATCGAGTGTGTTGTCGGTCCGAAAGTCCGATGGCTCGTTTTGCAGGTTGACACGCATATTGGTGGTTAATTGCAGGGTTGGTACATCTCGCTACAATGTTGAGTTTTGGGCAATCATTGTTCTCATCCACTCCGTACGATCAAGAGCCTCAACTTCAAAGCGAACCTCTCGATATGAAACGAGGTTTCAGACAAGAATATTGCTTATCCTGAGACTTCTTCAATCTGATCCTGGTGAAAATAATACGAGCTGTGCAATTCGAGCGATGCAATCTACTATAAGAATGTGCAGCTGCTGGCGTACGCCGATTATATTGACAATATCGGCCTCAGCAACCGCGATGGTAGTTATGCTTTCTTCTTCCTTTGGCTTTTTGGTGACAATTAGAAATACTAAGTGCAACCAAATCCTTCTACACTTCCTTCTTCCCTACTTCCACTGGCGGGTACTGACTCGAAAAATTACAAGTCTGGAGTGTTCTCGCCCATTCAAACTAAATGAGCCATCCAGCCCAACCGCTCTCTTTTGTTTCGTTAAACTTTATCAATTTCAGGGTCCACAGCTCCTACAGCTCAACATTCCTCCATAAATCTGACGCAAATCCTTTCTTTCGACAAGTCCTAATGCCGACTAATCAGATGTTGCCATTCCATACCTTCGCACCATATAGCAGGACGGGAACGATAAGCGACTTGTGGAGTCTAGTTTTCGTTCGTCTAGAGAGAACTTAACTCTTAAACTGCCTACTCAGTCCAAAGTAGCACTTGTTGGCGAGCGTGATTATGTGTTGGATTTCCAAATCAACGTTGTTATCGGTGTCAATACTGATTCCAAGATAGGCGAAGTTATCTAAGGCTTCAACGTTATGACCCTCAACAGTGGCTTGGAAGACAGTGAGACGGTTTTTTCGGTATAACGGTTAAGAGGCGCGTCTGCGGACTGGCGTGGATCTTGAAGCAAAAGACTCGCTATACAAATGTGTAAAAAATAAAGAACTGCCCGCATAGCGAGGCTGTTCGCTGGGATTGGGACCCACCATGTGGAAATCAGCTCTAATCTAATAACCACTCCCCATAAATAAGCTATTAATTAACTTATTTAATGACAAATAAAACTTTTCAAATAAAATTTTTTAAATTATTTAAATTGTTTTTATTTTTATTGGCTAATTCTCTATTTTTATCAAAATATAAATTCAAAATTTCTCATTTTTGTTCGCATCTGACGAGGAATGTTCGTGTACATACTTATTGCATATATATAGGTATGTAAGTATGTATGTATTTATGTACTTTTATAAGTTGGAAACTTGGAAACTTGGACAGCGTTCGTAGCAACAATAAAACACGTGACATTGAAAAATACGGTAAATCCAATATTGAATTGATGCAAAGGAAACTTAATCTATAAAAACGGAAATTCAACGTTAAACCGAGGTAACAAATTTCAAAACAATCCACTACTTATGTAACTAACAAGCACTAATAGTAATACGAAAGTTTGTTAAAAAAAAAAAAGAAAATAACGAAAACTCAGAGTATCAGCAGTTCTTCATCGGCAACCGAGATCCTCCACACTATTTGTTCATTGTCTTTAAGGGCACCATCTGTTCGGGATCCTCTGGGTAAATACTGTCTCTTCTGCGTTTACGTCCCGCGCATTGCGCAAACCACGTATCACCCTTGCCGAAGTTTTCGCCATCCTCCAAGGACTCGGGCATAGGTTGATCCATTGTCTCTGGCAAAAACATTACCCAAATACCAGATACCAGTGCTATGAGACCGAATGTGACGGCTGGAATTTTCGGATCAAACGAGTCGAGTAGCGTAATGAGCGGTGTAAGCGCGCCAGAAAAACGTGCACACATCGAACCCAAGCCCATTGCCGAATTGCGTACAACAGTTGGAAACAATTCGGCCGAGTAATTATAAATCACAGCGAAGGAGCCGGCTATGAAAAGTTTTCCCACCATCACGATAGCCGTTGAAGTGGTACTACCTTGTGTTATGAACGCAGCTACAATGCTACACACGCCGCCAGCAAGCATGAGGGTGCTGGTGATGGGACGACGTCCCAATCGATCTAATATCATGATAATAGTGAAGTAGCTGGGGAATTCAACGAGGCCCATTACGAAGAGTATGAGGAAAGGATTGCCATACAATTTGCCCGCACTAAGTGAGAGACCGTAATAGGCGATGGAGTTGGCGAACCAGCAAAGGCAAACATTTAGTGTCTTCGTTCTGAGGTTGGGCGTACGGAAGAGATCACCTAAACTGGCAGATGATTTCTCCTCCAACGCTGTCTGTTGATTGGCCTTCTGCAAGTAATAGTTCTTATCCACTGGTATGCCGGAACCGTTAATACGTAAACCTTTGATAACAATATCTATCGCTTCCTCAGCTCGACCCTGCATCCACAGCCAACGTGGCGACTCATCCAGCCACCACCAATGACCGATGAAGAGCAAACCGTGTAAGCCATAAACAATTTGCAGCAACTGACGTTCCTTAAACAATGCACCCCAACCGGCTACCAACATGATGCCGCCAGCAAATACAGCCTGTAATATAAAAAAAATATATATAATTAATAAAACATAAACAATCAGCCAATCCATTGAAATAACCTGGAATGTAATGCCACAAGCGGTACGTTTACTAGCGCCCACCAATTCCATGGTGAGTACGAAACCGCAAATGTACGCACCAGCCGAACCGAACATGCCCAAAAAGAATCTAGTAGCCATAAAGGAGAAATACTCTGGTATGAAAGCGACAGCAACACCAAGCACCAATTGCAGTAACGCCGACCAGCAGAACACCGTCTTACGTCCGACTTTATCGGCCAGACCGCCTAAAGTTACAGCGCCAGTGAATACGCCCAGCATGAACACGGTCTGAGCAACAGCGCCGAGCCATCGGCGATCGCAAACTAAATCCCAATCTATAGCACGTGAGTCTTGATAATATGTACGATCGTAAACGTATGATTTGCAGGCGACGGTGTTATTCTGTGCATCGTACATGTGACAGTTGTCCAGCTCGCCAGACGGTTTCAAGGGTATAGCGGCGAGTATGTCGGAGGAGTTCCACGGTGTGAAAGAATAACTGCTGTTGTCGACACCCTCAATGAAGCATCTGTGTTCGGGTACGGCAGCAACTGTAACTAGTGAAAGCATATGAAGACCCGCTGTCACGCCTGAGAGTACTTGGAGAAAGAACTGTATGGCCTGATAGCGACCGAATTCGCCTGGAATTAAAATAGAAGAAATAACATATTAAATGGTTATTTGATGAATTGACTTGATGTAGCAATTTCTGCAAGTCCGTACACAAATGCACTGGTATATTTAAGAAATCATTTGTCGGAGCCATCCAGGTCGGAGCATAGAAGCGAATAATTTTCAAATGGTATATCCATCAAAATAAGCCCCAAGAGCATGAATTTGGTATTTAACATTTGTGTTTGTTAACATAAAAAATATCAATAAACGTTGTCACTGAAATTGGACGACTATATCATATATCTCCCGATATGTTCAGGTATGAAGTTTTTGGTCAAGAATCCGTTTAATGGATTTTAGAGATATAAATTCGGTATTCTACGAGTACACAGGCAGTTATATAGAAATAGACTTAAACGCTGAACATTATCTAAATAGAAAAATTTTATAATAAAATGAAAAAATACAAGCACTTTCAGCATTTGACCGATCAGTAGCAAGTAGTATAAAAATTTTACGCTCACAGATATGGTGAGCGCTCACTGAACATGTTTACTGAGCGCTCAGTTCGCTGAACGCACCCATTTACTCCTAAAAGCAAATACCATAAACTTTATATGATCATGAAAGGTATAAAGATCTTGTTTCACTCCAGATTTCGAGGTATTCCGTACTGATCTGGTAGCTGAAATTCATGATGTTCTCTGCCCTTAAAATGGCAGAACTCAGCAAACATAACCTTCACGTGCGATAGTACCTGTCGGTTGTTTTTCGGTCTAATAGAACCAGTATGCCTCCTCTGTTTGTTAATGCCTTGGTTTTGATATAACATTTGTAAAATCACCATTTTCAGTAATTCTGCATTCGTCGCTTTTTCATTGAAATTCAAAAAATTTTGGAAAAAATCTTGCAATTACTCAAAACATTGGAAAAAAAATCACATGACTTTATTCAACCGATATATATTGTAAATTCTATTAACGGCTTCCCTATTTATGATTCGGCAATGGTTCATTACCATTTGTTACCGTACTGGGGCGTTCGTCGGATTTAACGTCCTCACAGCCATTGCAAACATTTCCTACCCTCTTTTGAAATTCTCTTCCATTTTTTACGCAATATTTGATAGAAATCCTTGGATCCATTTCTTTTAAAATTTGAAAATTACCTACCTCAAAAACAAGCTGTAACAAATAGCTCAAAGTGTTATCATACATCAAAGGCTTGTATATATCTCAACATAATGGACTTTTCACTAGCGTAATTTAAAAATTATCCTTAGTTTGTCAACACAGCTCATTCTTACGATCTATCTTAGGCTAACATTTTTTGAATTATAACTTGTCTAAAATACATATGTATGTATGTAATATAGTGCTAGCGTTGGTTATTTGGAGCTAAGAGATAATTTATCTATGTAATGAGGCATTGTAGATAATCTTTTGTGTTGAATATAGTAGGAGATATTTTTTGTTGTTTTCACAAATAAATTATATAGTTGTTTCTTTTAATTAAACGGGTACTGTATGCATACATGTATGTATGTACATATAATATTACACTTGCTTCTTTGGGTATGTATATCTCTACATTATAATGGTTGCCTACTTTTAGGCTGAAATATTACTAGGGCGTATTGAAATATTTATAAATATTCTTAAGAGGTTACTTCTGTTTCCCAGCTCGGAGTACTTTCCAAATCAACTCCGACGGCTTGTGACAGTCCTAAGAAGAGTTATGCGTACCATGCCGTTTAACTTATTCCAGTTATAATCAGATCAGTCAGATATATCATGTCTGCTATATTGGAGGACCCATGCCAGCTATTTTCTTTAGGACTTTAGTGCTCCAAACGGCTGGTTATTGGCCAATTGCGCTAATATTCAATTTATTTAGAAAACACTAACAAGACCAAACCATGAATATGTATATTAAAAAAAAAAAAATTCCAGCAAAAAGAGCTAAATAATTAATGCGATTTTTGCGCAAAAAACCATCTATGAACCCGATTTCCAAAAATGGAACCAAAAGTACGATTTTTTAGGTTAGATCAGTAACTGATTACTCCTCGGAGAGAAGAAAAGTAGAAGAGTGAGAAACGACTTTTTCATCAGTTAGATAAGCAAAGACGAAAATAAAATTATCCGGACCTTGATACTTCGAATTATTTCCAATTGCATAAAGCTTGAAAAAAGAAATATGAAAGTGAATTAGTTTCTACGAATTTGAGTCATATTCTCAGCACTTTTCATATGTGAAAGTAACCTTAAAAAAATATGTAATTTATGAGTGTTTCATTATCATAAACAATCTAATTTATGTTCAAAGCAAAGGAAATAGATTTCATGTAAATTTTTCACTTTTATTTAGTCGAAGTGAAGTTAATCAACCATAAAAATATAACGGTTAGTTTCATTAACAGCATAATTTATTTCTGCCAGGCGCATTGATGAATCTATGATTTTGCATAAACAGTTACTAAAATCACATTCACTTATGTACATATATAATATTAACCGCAAAAACGGTTAACTTGAGCGTAGCAAAAAGAAAATCTATTCAACATGAATTGTGTGTTTGTGGTCATGGTTAGTTTAAACTATATTAATTTTGTTCGTTTTCGCTTCTATATTTCATTGTAATTACATGAAAAAAAATCAACTGCGGTCTTTTTGTCTCTTACAAAACATCAAAACATTCTTACTTTCATTAATATAAACTAAAATAAATTATTTCACATTAAAGTGCAAGCTTGTACCGATTGGGATTGATTTTCATAGGCTTATTTAGAGACCAATTCTTCTTAGTATCCAAATCATTCGTCATAGACAGAAACGATGGTAATCACTTGTTGCAAGGTCCGGGCAATGAGATAGATGCATAAATACCATCCAACCACGTTCACGAAGCTTCAGGCAAGTCACCATCGATGTCGGACCACATGACGTTGTCTTAATGAAACACAAGTTTCTTTCTTTTTGGCAAAACTGGACGCGTCCATGTGATTACTTGCTTCACACAGTCCAATTGTTGACAGTAGAGATAGTACAAAAAAAGCTTTCCTGACCGTCAAACTTTGCTCACTGCCTTTCCACCACGACCGCTGAATAAAAAGCGTTAACTATTAGTTTTCTTGTTGAAGTGATGGATACTATCTTTTAGCGAAAATGAGTGCCACTCTCTCTCTCTCTCTCTCTCCCCCTCTATCTCTATCTCTATCACTCTCTCTCTCTCTATATATATATATATATTTATATGAATATATATATCTTTCTCTCTCTATATCTCTTCCTCTCTTATTTCTTTCTCTTTCTATATTTCTCTCTCCCCCATTCTCTCCATCTTTCTCTTTTCTCTTTTTCTCTCTCTCTTTTTCTCTATCTCTTCCTATCTCTCTCTCTCTCTCTATCTCTCTCTCTCTATCTCTCTCTCTCTCTCTATTTATCTCTCTCTATCTCTCGTTATCTCTCACAATTTATAACTACTATTGTTTCAAGGCAATGTAAGCAGGTTCTCATTTCCTTATCGGACTAGTCACTAGCCAGACGAAATGTGGCAATTGACCATAAATGAATCTTAAGATATCTGGTGGGGCAAAGACAAGTCCCAACACAAAGGCATGTCCAACTTATAAACGTCACTTGGTTGGGCACTTATCTAGGAACTACTATGGGCAAACACAAGAACCCACAGTGGGCCAGCCTAGGGCTTGTCCATATCACTACTGGGCGTATGTGTCGACTACTGATTTAATTTGCATAATAAATTAGTATTTCTGTAGAATTTTATCGCTGGCATTTTAATTGAGTAGCAATACAGTTATAATATTATTTCATATATTTTTCATTTCTATGTTCTTCACATTAAAGAATTTGTACGATATTTACAAGAATGTAAGTATGTATATTTACAAGAAAAACTTTCATATTGTAGGCATATAATTTATTTTCAATGCATTTAATCTGAACTCACACCCACACAGAATATGGAGATCCCAATGAAATCAATTCTTACACCACACGCTGTAATGTTTAAATAAATTTGTATTTGTTCACATTTCGATTTGTGATCGATGGAAAAATTGTCACATATATGTAAATGCATACACACTAGTGACTAAATACAATATGTGTAAAGTAAATGCGTTGATTGGCCTTAATTAGACCACTGTCACTGTCTAAATGCAACCGAAAAGAAAAAAAATAAAACCTAAAGAAAATTTATTGCGTTTAGTCGTACTCACACACTTACACAGACTCTATGACTATATATTAAATATGCTCTTGATTGGCTAACTAATGGGTTTGGATAACGATTCAAATAAAAATTTAGCACTAGTCCAAGCAATATGTAAACGGCCTGCTTTTTAGCCATGTGGTTTTCAAGAATAACTTATTATAAAGCTAAAGACTCGCCGTTAAGTTTTACAAAAGATTTCGGGAAAGTGGCCGCCGCTTCTGGCTCGAAAGGTCCACTTTTCACAACAAGTAAGGTCATATGCCAATAATAACTTGCCGATATTCTCGCCTAAGGCATCCATCTTCTCGGGTTTATTTACCTAGGCAAGCGATTTTACTTCTTAACAACAATTAATGCTTCTATGGTACTTTTTCGATGACTCAAAACAGTTTCCCAATCCCGTTCTAATGTGGATTTTCTCTAAGTCAAAGGGTTTTCTCACATTGGCTTCACTTTTCCATAAGTTATATGGTTCCAAGATCTTACGTAATTTTGGCGTTTTTTCGGCACTAAGCTAATGACTTTTGAGATCCTTATTTTAGAATATATTTATGAAACTCTTTAGTTCACTTAAAGCTGGAGTGTGGCTCTAAAATTGTGAATCCAGTATACTCAACAAATTCCAGTAGAGTGGAAAGAGTGCATAGGAATTTTTTTCATTTTAACCATTTCACTTTGCCGAACCATTACGATCGATAACCTTAGCGGATATCTCTTAGCTAAACATATATGCGCACTTTGCAATCTATAACATTTATTTTTTACCTTATATCCGGTGCTATCGATT